TTGATTTCCTGTGTCAGGTATATTTGCCCTTGAATATAATTTGAAAATTTCCCCCTAACTATAAAAGTAATATATGCTTCATGTAAAATTATTACATAGGATATTTGAAAGTGAAAAGATTGCTCCTGGCTTCCCAATTCCAGTCTGCAGAGATAACCACTGTTATGTGTCTTTACTGTCATATTTCTGCATAAGAGCAAGAATATACATGGCACATAGTACACACATACATGTTTATACACATGGAGATAGCTATAGATTTAGATATATTTTACACACATACACCATCTTATAGTTTTCTTTTTCCATTTGATGATGTATCTTGGAAATCTGTCCATGTCAGTAAATATAAGTGATTTCATTTAAACATGTCTCTCTATTGTGTCAAATTGTTTTATACGTATATATCTCATCTTCCTTCACAGAAGGAAAATGGAAACTCCTCAAGGGCAGGATAATTACATATTCCTTCTCTTTTCCATTCACTTATTCTTTACTCTTTGTGCATCTATTGTATATTTCGCTCTTCATGCTGTGGGAGATCAAAGACGTTTATTTCTCACAACCCCTAAGGGGTCAGGATCTAGCAGATCAGAATCTGTGTTTATCCTTAGAATTGTAACGCAGGAAGAGATTGAGAAGTGTCACCAATGTTTGTTACTGGAAATATGGCTGATTAAGTTATTTGAATAATTTTCTTGCCGAAAATTATTGAAGTTGTTGAATATATACAAGAACACATCCTCAGAGGAGCAAAGTCCTAAAACTCTAAGGAACTGTAAGGAAAAGCAAGAGTTCAAAGAAGCTTAGACAGAAAAACCTTTTGACAAAATTCAGCACCCATTTATGATTAAAAAAAAAACCTCCAGAAAGTGGGCATAGAGGTGCATATTTCCAATATAATAAAGGCCATATATGACAAACCTACAGCTAGCATCATACTCCATGGTGAAAAGCTGAAACCATTCCCTCTAAGATCAGGAACAAAACAAGGATGTCCACTCTCACCACTTTTGTTCAACATAGTTTTGGAAGTCCTAGCTACAGCAGTCAGAGAAGAAAAAGAAGTAAAGGGAATCCGAATTGGAAAAGAAGAAGTTAAGCTGTCACTGTTTGCAGATGACATGACTATACATAGAAGATCCTAAAGCTGCTACCAGGAAACTGCTAGCACTCATCAGTGAACTTGGTAAAGTCGCAGGTTCCAAAATTAATACACAGAAATCTGTTGCATTTCTATACATTAACAACAAAAGATCAGAAAGAGACATTCAAGAAGCAATTCCATTTACTGTTGCATCAAAAAGAATGAAATACCAGAACTAACACTACTTTTTCCTTGAGGGCATTTGCTACTGCAGGCAAATTTGGACTTTGCCTGCATTGTAGGTAGTAAGACTACATAGAAACCTAGTAAATGATTAATATTAAGATTAGCATAATAATTTGGGGGTGGTACAGAGTTTCTGGGGTACTCAGAATCCTCTGTTTATGGACCTGGTGGGAGCTCAGTAGGGTAATTTATTTTCTAAACTAGGCATTTTTGTTGTGTGTAATTTTCTGTATATGTGTTGTAATTTAAAATAAAAAATTAGATGTGAGAGAACAAGTTATAAAACAATAATATGATCTCACATGTGTGTACATTATATAAATGTATATGTGCATGTGTGCCTATGTTCTATGAATAGAATGTGTAATATATAAATTCCACACATTGATAAAATACAGAAATTTAAAAATATATGTGTTTGGGAATGCAAAAGGTTATGTGTATGTTTCATATACACAAAAAAGATGTGAAAGAGTATTCTCCAACTACCGAGGAGAACCTTGAGAGATAGAATAGGGGTGGGGAAGAAGCAAGAAAGAAATTTATTATACTTTGTGCTTCAAACCACTGTTAAATTTTAAAAATATTCATTATTATTTAGTATTTTAAAAAGACATTAAAAAGGATGGCTTCTGTTTCTGCCCTTAGATTTAAAAAAGTGTTCCTTCCACCAGGCTCCATACCATTTGGCACAGTACCTTTTTTTTTTAATGTCTTATTCCTTGGCTAGACTGTAAGCTCTTAAGGGGAACAAGACAATTTTTATCTTTCTATTTCTTGTGTCTAATTAATCCTCATATATAGGAGAGGATCTATAAATGCTAGTAAAAAAATGAATGAATAAATGTACTTTAAAAAGAATTTAGGACTGTAGGTATCCAGTAGATACAGTGTTTCCTTAGAGTCTCTTGTTCCTTTTGAATATTATTTTGTATCTGGCACAGCAGTGGGTATAAAGTTGGCACAGTGAATACAGGTGGATTTGAATTTAACTGACACTTTGTGGAACCTGTAGGCAAATGTGCAGTCCGCCATGTGGTGCCCCTCTTGATCCCAGAAAGCAGAAAAATGCAAATACTCTCTGAAAATTAAACTAAGAAATGAACGTCTAACTGATTAAAGTCAAGAAAGGCAACGTGATCTTACAAGACATAAGGACTCTCTGGGTGCAGAAATTTGACTAACCTAATTGATGGTACTGACATCTTTAAAACACACAAACAGAAAAATGCTCAGGAGAGCATTTTCTCTTTCTCCAAAACAGAAGAAAAGAAAAACTCTTAATGAAATTGTCACGATACCTAACAAAGGACTGTCTGACCAATAGCACCTGCCAGGTGGAGGCAAGCATCCAGCCTGCCTGGCAGGCAGATAGCCCCCTGTGGTACAGAGCTGAGAGCCTCATGCCATCTTGCACTGGAATCCTGCATAATTAACTCCACTTGCTCTGCTTCCGTGTGCACCAAGCTTCCGTCTGGTGATTTGCCTTCCCAAGGAGATAATGCACTATCAGGCTGATGCAGAGTCAGCATGCCTGATTCTTCTGTTGTTCACTGTAAATAATAAAGTCACCTTCTTCTTTTTTTATATACATCAGTGTCTTGTGAGTTTTGTTAGCATGAGTCTGCATTCCTGGGTCCAGTCAGTGAGATCGGGTACCAGAGTCTGCAAGGCTCATCAAGGTAAATACTACCTTGTGGGCATCTGTTGGAGCCAACTGCTGGATTTCCCAGGTGATGATGCCCATCTGTGTCATCTTGCTCCATGTCCCCTTTCCATTCCACACTTCACCAGAAAAAGTCTTCCCAGAAGTAGTATGTTAGAACATCTTAATAATGTGTGCATTTCAGCTGAAGAGTACCAAATAATACTGTGTCAATGGTAGTAGACCCTTATCCTCTGGGTGAGTATTATTGGTTTGGTGAATTTCAGACCCATTTGGGTAAATGGAATGTGTGATGTTATGTAGATGCCACATACCGAGGACCCCCAACAGCTCGTTTCCAGTTCTGGCTTCACAGCCCCTTCACTTCTGGCTCTCATCTCGTTGTCAGCATCAATCCTGGCATCATACTCAAGTCACTTCCTAACCTGGGTCTCTCTTGCAGCAGTGAAACCCAAAGAAGATGGAGGACACAGTGAGTTCGACAAGATTAAGGATAAGGATGCAAGTAGAGCAGGCAATGAACGAGGTTATAGAATTTTTTTTTTCTTCCATTCTCATCTTTCTCTCTTTCCTCCAAACAGTCCCAGTAGCATTTGAAAGGGTTTCAAAATTCCATACACTGCTATGGAAAAAATAAAGCACAAGTTCTCAACACCATGTTTTTCTGCTTACCTATAACAGAATGTAAACCAGATTTCAATAAATCATTAACAGCAATACCTTGTCAAAAAAGATATCAGAGTAGATAACAGGGCAAAACTCATACAACTCTCAAGTGAATCCTGGAATTTTTAAAAAATTGATTCTTGCATTACATAAGTACACTATCAGGTGGGACTTTGGTAAATGGAAGTTTTTCCTCTTTCTCTCCTATTCCTCCCCTGTCACCCCAGCTTCCAGCCAGAATAATTGATCACTACATTTCACTATAAATTTAGCAAGAAGGTACCTAGAGCAATCCTCAGTTATCAATTTGATTTAAAATAATCTATATTTTATTGGTAGATTAAGACATAAAGATCTCAAATAGGACAGAAAAATACAGAATCTCTAAGACTTACTTGGTTCTTTAAAGCTGTTGTTTTGACAATCACAATTTTGTCAATTTTATACAGTGGAGTTCTGCCGCAAAATAAGGCACATGTAAAATTCATGAGACTGCTGTCTCTGTGTTATCAGAGTTATTCTTGTAGACTGATGTTAAATGAATACTATGGGGATGAATTGCTCTATAGGTTTGTGGGCCATTCCTGATTATTTAGATGCTGCTTAACCAGTCAGTAAATTTTTCAGGCTTTTTGACCAGATTTACCATCCTCTGGCTTTTATTTCCTTTGGATGAAAGATGATGATAATGAGGAAAGGGTCCATTTTTCATTCCCACATGAACAAGATGTGTTTCACAGCCAGAGACAGCCTGAATGTAAGTAAGATAAGTCGCTATACTGAGGACCCAACAGGGCGTCCATAGTGAAAGTTAGCCTGGGTAGCACTAAAACACTCAAAATCAAGCCTATCACCACCTCTGAAGTACTTGTCCTACTTTAGTGAATCAGTAACAGGATCTTATGATACAAAAGTTAGCATCTTCTAAAGCAAACCAGGCTATGTAGTATGTTACATGCTATATGGAAATAACCTCCCCTCTGCCAAAAAAGAAAGAAAAATCATATTTCCTAGTTTCATTAAATGTTTAGTGAGTAGAGGCTAACCATGGTCAACATTTATTTTTTAAAAAAAGCACAACTCTCAAAACTGCCTGTATTTCTTCAGAACTTAAGTACTTATTTCCTTACTTTATCAAAGTACATGATATCTTGTCAAGATTCTTGCAAATATGGAAATACATAAAGATTACTCTAAGACAGAGGAATAGAGTGAGCCAGAGAAAGATGGTTACCTGAAAAGTGATGCGCATTTGACTTACTCTTTTCCCTGTGTCTCATTCCTCCTGAGCCCAGGCCACTGCCTGCCTTTTTTCTTTCTTTCCTTCTGTCGAAGGTCAGTGTCGAGACAGAGATTCACTGGACAGAACTGAAAAGACAGACTGCTGAGACAGAATTATGCTGAAGTTGGGCAGCATTATGTCAAGCTGAAGATGCAGTTTTCAAAACTATACAGATATCTTCAGACTTGGACCTCCTTTGTAATGAAGCCCTAACCTTTCATAGGCTGGCTACATAAGGAGCCTATATGAAATGACAAAGGAGACCGAATTTCCCTTTCATTCTCTGTTCTATCTTTCTAAATTCTTTTTCTGGCATCGTCTGGTTTTCTTCATACCTGCTACAGCCCTCTTAACTTTCTGATTCTTGTCCCTTTCCAATAAAAGATTTACCATAAGGCTTGATATAATTAAGTCAGTCTCTGTGTATGTATATTAGTGTGTCTGTGTGTTGTGTTTATGTATCTACGTTTTGTTTTTGTTCATTTTTAATATACTTCAGCAGATTTCTTTCTAACCAAATAAACTCCAAGAGGGATATTTTTTAAGTTTTTAGGATTATTGACTCTTCACACAGTCTAGAAACTACTCTAAAAAAATGTTGGGTACAATTTCATGGTGTTTATGGCCTCTTAGTATTTATTTATGGATTCCACTGGTTTCAGAGTCCCTGTGATGAAATTCCAAAGTTACCTACTTCCCATGGTCACTGGTGATATTCATTCACCAGACACTCATCAGATGCCTTCTCTGTGCCAGGCACTGTGCAGGGCATTGAGATACAGTGAAACAGACATTGGCCCACATATCAAAATGTATGGTGTAGCTGAGGAGACAGACAAGTAAACACACAGTTGTAATACAGTATATGTACTGTAGTAGGAAAAGTACAGGGTACTTCAGGGAGCACATGAGATGAGTGTTTAATTCAGCTTTGAGGCATCAAGAAATTCTCTTTACACTGATACCTGAGTTGTTCTAAGTAAAAGGAATGCTATGTACAAAGTCAAGAGAATTAGAAACATGTATCTGTTGAGAAATTTGGGTTTGATTTTAAAGGACCTTAAGTTGAGGGATGGTAAGAACTGATCTGTGACTGAAAAAAATAACTGACTCTGGTGTGAAGAATGGGTTGGGAGAAGCAGTACTCGAGGCTGGGAGACTTCACTAGTAGCCAGTAGACAGTAATCGTGACATTAACTGACAATGCGAATGAAAAGAGGACGAGTCGAAAGGATGTGAATTGGAAACCACAGTATTTAGTGATTAAATTCATTCCTTCAGCAGATACTTGTTGTGCTGCTTTGAGTTAGACACTCTGTGAGATGTGGTGAACTGTAGACACCATCTGTATCTTCAGGTCTAGTGGTTGTGACCCCCAGGCCCCTGGAGTGGACAGCTCAGTGGATGGTGGGTGCTGTCCTCCACAGATGGAGCAAACATATGTCTCCAATTAAAGGTTCCCAGACAAGTGCTTCTTGAAGCTATAAATGTACCTCCTGAGATTTCAGAATGTCCCTGCAGTTTTGAATTGCTCTGTCTGATGAGAGATGCTACTGATGGAAGAATGCTTCTGCAGAAACAGTATTCAGGGAGGAGCTTGAGAGCCACTGATAGAGATGACAGGTGGAGCCCCAAAGTAAATGAGATAGATTACCCAGGAAGAGTGTATAGAATGAGAGGAGAGGAAGGGTGAGGATTGGACCTGGCAGAACAATGGAGAAAGAAGAGGAACCTGGTGAGAAAGCCAGGAGTATGTGAAGAATGTAAAGTGTGTTCCAGGATGGAGCCAGTGGAACAGAAGGGAGGAGGCGCAGTGTGGCAGCAACAGTCAGCTTCAGGGCCTATCAGATAGGCCTCTGATAACCTGAGCTTACATATTAAATGTCACAGGTTCACCACCACTTTAGCTGAAGGGAATCTACATATCATGTGTGCGGGTGGCATAGAGTGGAGTGAGGGAGAAGTTATCATCAATATGAAAGAAGGAGAGTAACTTTGTATCCAGTTAAGTGGTAGCACTATATGCTAAAAGCAACAGAGCATCACTTTAGATATCGACAGGAAAAGGTTGTCACTCAGATTTTACAGCCAGCTGAGGCATCTTGAAAGGGCAGCCCAGAGATCATCATTGACAGTGAATGACTTGCAAAATATCCCAGTCATGTGTTTGCCCTGGGGGTGGGGGGGGGGAAATTATACGAAGACTTGCGAGAGCCAAATAAGTAGTAAGAATAAAGAACCTGATAAGGGGAAGAAATGATAGTAGGATGGTTGTTTTTTTTAAGTGGTATGCATTTAATTGTGAATAAGAGTTGTTAATATAGTACTAAGTCATAAGTCACAGGACTTCCTAGTGGCTCAGACAATAAGGAGCCTGCCCGCAGTGTGGGAGACCCCGGTTCGATCCCTGGGTGGGGAAGATCCCCTGGAGAAGGAAATGGCAACCCACTCCAGTATTGCCTGGAAAATTCCATGGACAGAAGAGCCTGGCGGGCTACATTCCACGGGGTCGCAAGAGTTGGACACGACTGAGCACCTTCACTCACTCACTCATAAGACTAATGATAAATGAGTCCTCAAAAAAGAATACTGAAACAGACTTACAGTAATGGGGATCTGCGATTACAAAATGTTTCAGTAGTTTGGCAGGCAGAGGGAAGATGGAAGAGTGCAAGGAAATTTTTTTTTTAATATTATTTTCTTATTGACATTAATTAAGAAATAGCAGGATCAAGAAAGTAAAGTCAAGCAGTGCTTGAGTAGAAATAGGATGAATAACTTCCTAATCAGTTGGTTAAGAATGAGGGGGAAAGCAGAAGTTTTGGAAGCATAAAAAACAGAATACAGTTTAAAATTAAACCTGAACTTTCCACACAGTGACTACACTGTTCTGTTAAAAGACAAGGATTTGATTTTTTTTTTTTAATCTAACCATAATATTATCCTGAGGCACACCTTTAAAAGAAAAAAAAGAGAGAGAGGTTTGTAACCATAGATGCGAAGGGATTTTTTTTTTAATGGATTTGAAAAGAGTAATATGTTTAATATTATAGCAGTGAATTAAATCTGCAAAAGGAATGGCCAAAAGTAGATTGAAAGCAAAAATAACCAAAATGGACTCAGAATGGTCAAAACTGTGAATGACAGTTACAAAAATAAGATTAAAAGAAAGGTCCTTTCCTCCCCAAACATAAAAATGCTACACATATTAATTGTTAAATTTTGTCAGATCTTGAAAAAAATGGATATTTTCTGTGTTAGCTAGTCTGTTTTACACCTTGGGAAAATAGGGACCATTTCCTAGTTTATTTTAGGAAACTTGGATGACTTATGACCAAATGCCATGTTTTGTCTTTTTCTTAAAAGTTAAGAACACTTTCACTTTATATAAATCTACACTTACGTAATCTTAAGTCAAATATTAACAAATAAAATCTGCCGCATATTGAAAGAGTTGTACATATGATAAATTTGGGTTTGTTTCAATAATGTACCATTTATCATTAGAAAATCCATTAAACCTGCCTGCCAGTGCAGGAGATGCAGGTTTGATCCCTGGTTTGGGAAGATCCCTTGAAGAAGGAAATGGCAATCCAGTCCTGTATTCTTGCCTGGGAAATCCCATAGACAGAGGGTCCTGGCAGGCTACAGTTCATGGACTCAAAAAAGAGTTGGACACAACTTAGCGACTAAACAACAACATATTCTGTTAGACCTTTTTGGTCGTGACAAAAGGAAAAGTGCTTGGAAAGATTTATGAACTGAAGGATAATGTCTCTCTGTTTCTGAGACAATAAAGACAAAAGCAACTGCTTCAAACTTGCAAGCATTCAGCAAAGCATAACGTTTAGAAGATGTTTTTGAAAGTTTTATATACAAAGAACTGAAACTTCAAGGGGTGAGACTCTACTTCATTACAGTACTTAATACATTAAGTGTTTGCAGCCAGAGTTCAGTTGTACTAATAAGGCTCACGAACGTTTTTGAAGTGCTTCTTGCAAGCTAGATGTTTTTCTGATGCCTTACGTGTACTATCTCCTATACTGCTGAAAACAGTCATCTGAAGTAGGTACAGATAGTATTTTACATATTTTGCAGATATGACTACCGAGGTACAGGAAGTCTTAGTAGCTTGCCCCAGGGCGCCCAGCTAATAATTGGCAGAACCAGCTTTGCAACTCAGTCTAGTGCCAGAGTCCACTTTGCTAAGCATTATGTTGTACCAAGCCTCTTAATTTTCTGACTCACTGGATTTCTCAGAAAAAAAAAGAAAAAAAGGCTCAGGGAGGGGATAAATTTAACTTAATCTGTGTGAAGAATAAATTTGGATGATAGCTTTTCAACTCACAGCTGAAAATCCATTGAGAGTTTGTGAGGAATACTTTTCTCACCTGCATTCAGTCTTTGCTGAAAGGTCCTTGTGGCAAGTGTTTAGAGCTGAAGTTTTATTCTGTTGCCAAAATAACTCCTAGAAAAATCACTTTGAAGAATTTTTAAGTAAAATATTTCCCTGTTTACTCCAAAACAAATTAGTGGACTTTGAATGTCCCTCATTTCATCCACAAGGCTGGTTTTTCTCCATCTGTGACTAAAAAAGCGGTTTGATCAGCGTGGCGCACGTTGAATTCTTGTTTCGTACACCACTTAGGCTGGAAGGCAAATGTTTTCATCAAGCAAGAATAGTCAGTGCTTATGTTGATCAAAGCTTTTAAGCAAAAAAATTGTTTCCCTCAACATCAAAAACACCAAAACCAATTATAAAATGGGCAGAGACTGAAGATACATTTTTCCAAAGACATACAGATGGCCAAGAGGCACATGAAAAGATGATCATTGCTAATCATCAGAGAAATGCAAATCAAAACCACAGCAAGACAACACCTCACACCTGCCAGAATGGCTGATATCAAAAAGACAACAAATAATAAGTGTTGGCGAGGATGTGGAGAAAAGGGAAGCCTGTGCACTGTTGGTGGGAAGGTAAATTGGTGCAACTATTATGGAAAACAGTATGGAGGATTTTAATAAAGTTGAAAATAAAAGTACCATAAAATTCAGCAATTCCACTTCAGGGTATTTTTCTGAAGAAAACAAAAACACTAGTTCGAAAAGATATATAAACCCCTATGTTTACTGCAACATTTTTTACAAGAGCCAAGATATGGAAGCACACTAAGTGTCCATTGGTAGATGAATGAATGAATAATAAAGAAATTATATATAAACACATATATAATGGACTATTAGCCATAAAAAGAATGAAATCTTGCCATTTGCAACAACGTAGATGAACTAAGTGAAATAAGTCAGACTGAAAAAGATAAATACCATGTGATTTCACTTATATGTAGAATCTAGAAAAGAAAACAAACGAACAAACATAACTAAACAGAAACAGACTCACAGATACAGAGAACAAGCAGGTGGTTGCTAGAGGGTTGGGGTGTGAGGGGATGAGTGAAATAGGTAAGGGAGATTAAGAGGTAGAAACTTCTACTTACAAAGTAAATGAGTCATGGGGATGAAATGTACAGCATAAGGAATACAGTCAATAATACTGTAATAACTTTGTATGGTGACAGATGGTAACTAGACTTGGTGCGGCGATGCTTTTGTAATGTATAGAAATAGTGAATCACTACGTTGTACACCTTCGACTAACAGTGTTGTAGGTCAGTTCTACTTCAATTAAAATTTTTTTTGCTCCAAAATCTGCCATTGTTTTAACATTTTAAGTTTGGGATTTAAAAAAAAAAATACTTTAAGCATTAAAGGGAGGATTGAGGTGGTTTTATTTTTTTCAAGCTTATTTAAAGGTGGCATGGACTTTTAAAAACATTGAGGAAAACTACTTTAAATGTATGCCTATGCCTGTTGATATGGAAATGTAAAGATGCTCACAATGGATTTTCCAAAAACAGCATGCCTTCTACATCCTTTCAGATTTTTCTAGCCCTCTAATCAGAAAACTGAGATGCTGCAATCTTATAATACTCTTGAATTTCTTTTTATCATTCTCTTTTTTAAAGTAAACATGGTATATCTCAGTTGATAGCTGTTGAAATGTTTATAGCATGAGTCTATTATTTCCTTATAGGTGAACAGTCATTAATTTAAAATAACCCAGTTTTACTTGTTTCATTTTTATTCTCAAGAATTCAGGTTTACCTGAAATTACTATAGCTATAATTTTTTCTGATTATCACTTGTTTGTCATGTTACTTCCAAACATTTATCAGTTTTCATATTTTAAATCAATCTGAATCTTGATCTTTAAATAGTGAGGCTTATGTTGATAATAATGTTGTTTATAAATGTTTATGAATGGGCTTCCCTCATAGCTCAGTTGGTAAAGAATCCGCCTGCAATGCAGGAGACCCCAGTTTGATTCCTGGGTTGGGAAGATCCACTGGAGAAGGGATAGGATAACCATTACGATATTCTTGGGCTTCCCTTGTGGCTCAGCTGGTAAAGAATCCACCTGCAATGCAGGAGACCTGGGTTCAGTCCCTGGGTTGGGAAGATTCCAGGGAGAAGGGAAAGCCTACCCACTTCAATATTCTGGCCTGGAGAATTTCATTGACTGTATAGTCTGTGGGGTTGCAGAGTCAGACACGACTGAGCGACTTTCACCTGTCACTATATTATAATAAATGTTTGTGCAGTATGATCCCATTTTTATAAAATAGATTCAAATCTCTGACGTGCCATATGAAAAAGAACCTAAAAAAATCCCTCAGTTATTAAAAGTGTTGTCTTTGACATTGAAACTGCAAGTGATTTAAATTTTTATTTATATATTTGTTCAAAGTTTTTCTGGTAAAAATATACTGTTACCTATTTTTTAAAAATTTAATGAGGGAGCAAGACAGTAAGCTATGAAACAAAGTATACAAATGTCAAAAGCTATCTTATGTACCAGCCATACCATTAGAAAGTATAATGCAGGGATTCCTTGGTGGTCTAGTAGTTAAAACCCACTTTCCAATGCAGAAGACGCAGGTTCAGTACCTGGTCAGGGAACTAAGATCCCACATCCCATGGGGCAACAAAGCCCACTTGACAGAACTAGAGAGAAGACCATGAGCTTGAACGGAAGATCCTGAATGATGCAAGAAAAACCGGGCTCGGCCATTTAAGCAAATATATAAACATTAAAAATATATGAATTTTTAAAAAGGAAGTATATGGGGGGCGCAAAATAAACAAGCAGATAATACATTCACAATAATAATATAAAATGCCCATAAGTGAGCTAAGAAATATGTAGATCTTTCCTAAAAATAAACTTAAATTTTTCTGAGGTACTTGAGACGGTGGAAAATTGTATCACAAGTCTCAAAAAGAAGACAGTGTTTTATTTATTTATTTTTCCATTTATTTTTATTAGTTGGAGGCTAATTACTTTACAGT